CTCAAAAAAAAAAAAAAAAAAATTATTCAGGTGTGGTGGCGCTCACCTGTGGTTCCAGCCACATGGAAGGCTGAGGTGGAAGTATTGCCAGGGCCTAGCAGGTTGAGGCTATGGTGGCCTTGAGTGTGCCACTGCACTCCATCCTGGGCAACAGAGTGAGACGCCAACTCAAAAACAAAAGAGTATTTAATTTTTTTAATGTAAGCAGGCAAAATATAAGCTTAAGGATTTTGATGCTAGAATAGAAAGACTGGTTAGGGTCTAAGCCTCTACTGGAAGCAGACTGACCTTACTGGGTCCTTATTTGGCAGTGTTTTACTGTACACTTCATATATGCCAGGTATGATGCTGGAGGCCGTTGCAGTGAAGTGCAGTTCATCCTGTCTTCCTCAGAGTCATGTGCAGTGGGAGACAGGAGTGTATGGGCAATTAGTGCTCCAAGTGCAATGAAAGGAATTCAGAGACAGGTTTTTTGTTTGTTTGTTTGTTTGTTTTGAGTTGGAGTCTCACTCTGTCACCCAGACTGGAGTGCAGTGGCTACTCCCGGCCACCGCAGCCTCCCTGCTGGGCTCTGGCGATCCTTCTGCCTCAGCCTTCCAAGTAGCTGGAACTACAGGCACGTGCTACCACGTCCGACTAATTTTTTGATTTATTGTAGAGATGAGTTCTCTCCAAGTTGCCCAGGCGGGTCTCGAACCCGCGGGCTCAGGCAGTCCACTCACCTCAGCCTCCCAAAGCGCTGGGATTACAGGCTGAGTCACCGAGCCCGGCTAGAGACAAGGTTTTTTGTGTGGCTGCTCAGCAGTCAAACATGGGAGGGGATCTCAGGTAGAGTCCCAACAGTACTCACCTTTGGGGCATGGCAAGACTGGCCCCAAGACCACGGGAAGGAGTCTAGTGTGGTCATTGTACCAGGGCAACTATATTTGTTACTCATTATGGTGGGTGGTAGGCTGTGATCAAAGCCTGTTTTGGTAGTGAAAATTTGATCGTTGGTTTGGATTCAGCCCTAAAGCCAGAGATTACCTATGTGTCCCAGTTAATGATGATTCAGAATCTCTAATTAAAGCCCACAAACCATTGAGTTTACATTTTCAGACTTTGTACTGAAATACTAAAATTCTGTTGTCTTATTCTCTCATCCAGGAACATGACATTGATACAAGTGAAACAGCATTCCAGAACAATTTCTGATGACTGTGCCTCTTGAAGCATTTTCTGCCTCCTGGTTCTTTGTAAACTGTTTTTTAATTATTCCTCAACTCCTTATCCAAATTGTCTATACACTCTTTTGTCTATGAGCTGTGGAAGGTCTGTGCATCTTCTATTGTATCTAGACAGGCATAAGATTTTTAACTTACAAATCCTTATGTAACATATGTTCCAGCCGGGCTCGGTGGCTCAGCCTGTAATCCCGTGCTTTGGGAGGCCGAGGTGAGTGAATTGTCTAATCCTGCGGGTTCGGGACCCACCCGGGCAACTTGGCAAGACCTCATCTCTACGATAAATCAAAAAATTAGCCAGGCGTGGTAGTGCGTGCCTGTAGTTCCAGCTACGTGGAAGGCTGAAGCAGAAGAATCGCCGGAGCCCAGCAGGGCGAGGCTGCAGTGGCCGCTTCTGGTCTGGGCGACAGAATGAGACTCCAACTAAAAAAAAAA